AATTTATAATAAAAAAGGAGGCACTGTGGAGTAATGGATAGCCGCTCGGATTGAGGAATCAGAGAGCCGAGTTCGAATTCCAGTCGAATCCATTACATTCACTTACGTGCTAATACCCTTGGGAAAGGTATGAACTCTTCTTCTCTCCTGATTTATTTATTAACACAAACAAAACCATTTATTATAATTTATATAAAAAAAGGAGGCACTGTGGAGTAATGGATAGCCGCTCGGATTGAGGAATCAGAGAGCCGAGTTCGAATTCCAGTCAAATCCATTACATTCACTTACGTGCTAATACCTTTGGGAAAGGTATGAATCCTCTTCTTTCTCTCCTGATTTATTTATTAACACAAACAAAACCATTTATTATAATTTATAATAAAAAGGAGGCACTGTGGAGTAATGGATTTTGCTCGGATTGAGGAATCAGAGAGCTGAGTTGAATTCCAGTCGATAGCTTACGCTCGGAAATTGATTTATTTATTAACACAAAACAAAACCATTTATTATAATTTATAAGGAATCGGATTGAGGAATCAGAGAGCCGAGTTCGAATTCCAGTCAAATCCATTACATTCACTTACGTGCTAATACCCTTGGGAAAGGTATGAATCCTCTTCTTCTCTCCTGATTTATTTATTAACACAAACAAAACCATTTATTATAATTTATAATAAAAAGGAAACTGTGGAGTAATGGATAGCCGCTCGATTGAGGAATCAGAGATCCGAGTTCGAATTCCAGTCGAATCCATTACATTCACTTACGTGCTAATACCCTTGGGAAAGGTATGAATCCTCTTCTTCTCTCCTGATTTATTTATTAACACAAACAAAACCATTTATTATAATTTATAATAAAAAGGAGGCACTGTGGAGTAATGGATAGCCGCTCGGATTGAGGAATCAGAGATCCGAGTTCGAATTCCAGTCGAATCCATTACATTCACTTACGTGCTAATACCCTTGGGAAAGGTATGAATCCTCTTCTTCTCTCCTGATTTATTTATTAACACAAACAAAACCATTTATTATAATTTATAATAAAAAGGAGGCACTGTGGAGTAATGGATAGCCGCTCGGATTGAGGAATCAGAGAGCCGAGTTTGAACGCCAGTCGAATCCATTCATTCACTTACGTGCTAATTTGGGAAAGGTATGAATCCTCTTCTTCTCTCCTGATTTATTTATTAACACAAACAAAACCATTTATTATAATTTATAATAAAAGGAGGCACTGTGGAGTAATGGATAGCCGCTCGGATTGAGGAATCAGAGAGCCGAGTTCGAATTCCAGTCAAATCCATTACATTCACTTACGTGCTAAACCCTTGGAAATATGAATCCTCTTCTTTCTCTCCTGATTTATTTATTAACACAAACAAAACAATTTATTATAATTTATAAAAAAAAGGAGGCACTGTGGAGTAATGGATAGCCGGGATTGAGGAATCAGAGAGCCGAGTTCGAATTCCAGTCGAATCCATTACATTCACTTACGTGCTAATACCCTTGGGAAAGGTATGAATCCTCTTCTTCTCTCCTGATTTATTTATTAACACAAACAAAACCATTTATTATAATTTATAATAAAAAGGAGGCACTGTGGAGTAATGGATAGCCGCTCGGATTGAGGAATCAGAGAGCCGAGTTCGAATTCCAGTCGAATCCATTACATTCACTTACGTGCTAATACCCTTGGGAAAGGTATGAATCCTCTTCTTCTCCTGATTTATTTATTAACACAAACAAAACCATTTATTATAATTTATAATAAAAAAGGAGGCACTGTGGAGTAATGGATAGCCGCTCGGATTGAGGAATCAGAGAGCCGAGTTCGGGAATCCATTACATTCACTTACGTGCTAATACGCTTGGGAAAGGTATGAATCCTCTTCTTCTCTCCTGATTTATTTATTAACACAAACAAAAACCATTTATTATAATTTATAATAAAAGGAGGCACTGTGGAGTAATGGATAGCCGCTCGGATTGAGGAATCAGAGAGCCGAGTTCGAATTCCAGTCGAATCCATTACATTCACTTACGTGCTAATACCCTTGGGAAAGGTATGAATCCTCTTCTTCTCTCCTGATTTATTTATTAACACAAACAAAACCATTTATTATAATTTATAATAAAAGGAGGCACTGTGGAGTAATGGATAGCCGCTCGGATTGAGGAATCAGAGAGCCGAGTTCGAATTCAGTCGAATCCATTACATATTTACGTGCTAATACCCTTGGGAAAGGTATGAATCCTCTTCTTCTCTCCTGATTTATTTATTAACACAAACAAAACCATTTATTATAATTTATAATAAAAAGGAGGCACTGTGGAGTAATGGATAGCCGCTCGGATTGAGGAATCAGAGAGCCGAGTTCGAATTCCAGTCAAATCCATTACATTCACTTACGTGCTAATACCCTTGGGAAAGGTATGAATCCTCTTCTTCTCTCCTGATTTATTTATTAACACAAACAAAACAATTTATTATAATTTATAATAAAAAGGAGGCACTGTGGAGTAATGGATAGCCGCTCGGATTGAGGAATCAGAGAGCCGAGTTCGAATTCCAGTCGAATCCATTACACTTCTTCTCCCCCCAGCTATGGGTAAATAGCAGGACAGGCCGAGTTCTATAGCCTTTAAAAATATGTATTCATCGACAAATAGATTTTTAAATTATAACATTACGCTCTACTCTGTATTGAGTAAAAATAAATGCTAAAGAATTATGAATTATCAATCTGACTGTTTTATCTATCTATCTATATATATTTATATATATATATATATATATCTGTGTGTGTGTGTGCGTGTGTCTGTGTGACCTGATGTACCAGGAAAAATATATTTCTGGGGAAATAAATTATAGTTATGGAAACTTAAGGTTGTCTATTTCTTAATTATTTAATCTATCTATCTATACATACATACATACATACATACATACATATATATATATATATATATATATATATATATATATATGTATGTGTGTGTGCACTAATTATTTCTTTTAAAAATATATTTCCATCGCGACACAGAAATTACTATGTTTCGAAACCGAAACTTAAATCTTAAAATTTTTTATTAAGGGAGTGTTTTTTTTTTTTTTTTTTGTAAAAAGCCAATACCCTCCCACCCCCACTAATAAAAAAATTGTGAATTCTCTTTACCCCACCAACTTAAATAATACGGTTTGACATAAAAATCGAGTAAATCAAATTTTTTCGAAAGTTATTCTTAGAATCGCTTGAGAATGGAACCGAACTCAGAATTTTAATTTTAATTTTTAAGTCAAATTTTAAGATTTAAGTTTCAGTTTCGAAACATAGTAATTTCTGTGTTGCGATGGACACATATTCTTAAAAAAATAAATATATTATGCTTTACTGAGTATCGAGCACTGTTTTTTTTTTTAAAATAAATGATAAAGAACTCTGGATTATGAATCTGAATGTTCATCCTTATTATATATATATATATATATATATATATATATATATATATATATATATATATATATATATATATAAATATATTTATAAACAAAAATTACAAAAATAGCAATGGTAATATGATTAGTCACGAAATCACTTCGCTAACAGGACTTAATAAGACATTAACGTACTATCAATTCCTTGGATAATAAGGTCCTTATGTTCGAGTTGTTGTCAGATGGAAGACACATGTCAAGTACTTTCGACAATTTCAAATTCCAGGTCGCAATTTTCCCATACACAGGCAAACACTAAGACAAAATATGTATACTCAATCCCTAGCTTGGGGGATAGAGATTCATACCTTTCCTAGATAAATGGAAAAATTGATTTGGTTTTTACGGCTTATCAACTCTTTATGTGTTAGTTCAATCCAAAAAAAAAAAAAATGAGGTTATAAAAATAATTCTTTTTTTTTTTTTGCGAGTGAATACGGTATTAATATTTTTTTCAGAATAATAATATTTTCCTGATAGCATCCTACTATTTAATCCGTAGCTGAGGGGAGAAGAGATGAATTCATAAATTTGCATGTAAGTGAATGAAATGAACTCAACTGAAATTCGAACTCGGCTCGCCGACATCTCATTTTGAACCGCTACCCATTAAACTCCCCATTAAACTACCAGCCCATCCAGTCCTGCTCGGGCCTCACATTGCCTACTGAGCTAAGTCCTGTTGTTTTTAATTGATTTGTTTTTTTTTAACTGATTATCCACACTTTGTGAGTCATTTAAATCCGAAACATATGGATAATGAGAACTTTTTTTTTTGCATTAACAGTTTTTTTTTTTTTTAGAATTACAATAATTTTCCTTATACAATTGCTACTATTTAACCCATAGTTTGGGATATATAGATTCATATCTTTCCTAAGAGTATATGGTACCCGATTGTAATTCAAAATCAGCTCTCCCATTTTTAATTCTGAGCCGCTATCCATTATATCACTCACACATCCGCATTTCTAAATTTGAATGATGGTATTTATTGGAGTAAGCCATCACGAGTGCAGAGAACTGAACTCGCAAACAATAACTTCAGAGGCTGACATCGTGACCATTTCTTCAATTTCGAATGTAAAGTTGTTTTTCTTCGATACTGGTAACCTTATAAGGAATGGATAATGTCGCCATTTTTAACTTTGACTTTAACGAGAAAAATACGAAGTTTTACGCATGCGTATTCGTTGCAAGAAGCTTCGAAATATTTGTAGCCATGTCGGCCAGCCAACCAACCTCACCTGTATTTTTAAGGTAATTAAGGAACGGATCACTCATTGCTCTGAACTATTTTTGTTTAGATTTTTCTTTTATTTATTTTTTTGTGTTTCTTTTTTATTAATTTTTGGGTTTTCATATTGACATTGCGAAAGAATTGCAGAAGAGGGAAATATTGATTCTCTCTCTGTCTCTCTCTCTCTGTCTCTCTTTCTCTGTCTCTCTTTCTGTGTGTCTCTTTCTTTTGACATCGAGAAATTTGACTCGTGTCTTCACAACAACCCAAAATGATTGATGTATGGGGGACACAGATTAGTAAAATCAGAAGGAACTCTAAAAACGTCTTTTGCTTTTGAAATAAAAAAAAAGAAAAAAAGGTTAAATAAATGGATGGAAGGAGGCACAAAAATGTGAAAATGAGTAAGAGAGAGAGAGAGAGAGAGAGAAAGAGAGAGAGAGAGAGTGGGAGAGAGATCAGAGAACTGAAAAGATGAGGATGATGATGATGCGAAGGTTTGAACAGAAAATTCGAAGGACAAGAGAGATTAGAGAAAGAGAGAGAAATAGAGAGCTGAGGCCAGAGAGAGGAACTAAGAGATGAGGAGAAAGAAAGAAACAAAAACCAACACAGAGTAAAAATGAGAGGAACTGGGATAAGTCGAACAAGAGAGTGAAAAATCGGATGATGATGATGATGATGATGTCGGCTAAGGATATTGAGGGAAAAGGTGGGACATCGAAAGGTAAAAAAGATAATGAGAGACAGAAAAAGAAAGAAAGAGAGCGAGAGAGTGTGTGGGGGGAACTGCGATGGAGATGCATTAGAAAACAAAGAAGATGAGAGGAAAAGAGACAGAAATAGAATGCGTGTGACAGAGAGAGAGAGAGAGAGAAGATAAAAAAGAAAAGATGAGAGATACTGAAAAATAAAAAAATAAATAAATGGAAGACACATGTACGACGGTAGCGACTGAAAGGAAAAGAATTATATACATATATATCGGCATGGTTGATGCTAGGCTCCAGGATAGAGTCCCACTACGACTTCTTAGTCGCACGTTTGACTACATTGAACCAATCGTTGCATCTATCGCAAGGAAAGTTGGTTCATTGTGTCGTGCCAGAAGGTTTTACTCTTCAAAATCCATTTTGCACATTTACAAATCTTCCACTTGTCCATGCATTTAATACTGTTGCAATTATCTGGTCTAGTAGCCCTGCTATTCATCTCGTGGTTCTCGACAAAATCCGAAGAAGGATCTGCAATGTAATCGATCCTGACTTGGCATCTCAACTCCAGTCACTCCTCACTGACTTATCATGCCTCCACTCTGATTTTTCTACAAATATTTTCATGGCAGCTGCTCTCACAAGCTTTTTTCCTGGTGCCCCAGCGACATAAGCGTGAATCTAGGTCCCACCCTTTTAGTGTTGATATAGTTTAATGTAACCACCATTGATACTCTAACAGTTTTTGCACGCACTTCCCAACAGTGAAACTCCCTTCCGCTTACTTGCTTCCGTGATAACTACAATCTTCAAAAATTTAAATGCAACGTCAACCGCTACCTTCTTAACTTGAACCCCGTTCATCTTTTATCATTTCTTCAATTGTCCTATAGCCAGATTTTCTCTCCCTTTACTCTCTGTAACCCTCTACATACTAGTAGCACTCCCGCCTTGCTTGGGGTGAAATGATCAATATATATATATATATATATATATATATATATATAGATAGATAGATAGATAGATAGATAGATAAACTTAGTGAGCCAGACGCACCTACCCAGGCCAGCTTTCCCTGACGATCCGCTTAGGTTAAACCTGGGTAGGTTTGTCTGGCTCACTAGGTGTATCTAGGTCTGCTCTACGGTTGTATTGAGCTCTTTTGTTAGTTGTTTACTCGTATCGGGGTTTTTTTTTTTTGTGCTTCAAACCTGTATCTGTGCGATTTTTTTTTCGACAGACTTTCATGTTTCTAGCTCTTTCTTTTTTTTTTTCCTTCGAGATTGATTTGATTATTGGCAAATCAAAAAATTCGAAGGTTTTTCGAAACGAGTACACACACACACACACACACATATATATATATATATATATATTATTTAAGTAATTCATCGAGTCTGAAAGAAACCTCAACAGAATGCAGAAAGCACTGTACGGCCGTTTTGTACTATATTTGGGACTCATTGGGCGCTATATTGAGTCTGATTTGCAATCTTTTCGTCACCGAGGCCCGGTGGAACAATTGGTATGATGTTTGCTTGACAACCTAAGTGTCAGGGTTTCAATTCTCGGTAGTGGATGCGCACTGCTGTTTCGATTGGGTTCAAATCCGGAGAATTTGCTGGCCACTTCATTTTTCGACGTCCATTGAAGCCCAACTGTTTCAAATATTTAGTAGTCTTGTGAGCAGCGTGTGAGGGAGCATTATCTTGCATAAAAAACAATGGCCCTTCTGAAGGCAACTCTTTGCCTTTTCATCCACGGTTCAAGATGCTCCTTCATAAACGCTATGTATGCATCAGCAGTCATTTTGATGCCATCTGGTACTCTCCATGGACCCACTAATGTACTTCCAATAATACCACCCCAGATCATTATGCCTCCACCGCCTTGTTAGCGTCTCAAACATTGATGACGATTCTGTCCGCTCATTACCCAGCCTTTGCACCATTTATCTGGCCCATCAAGTGTTACTCGAGTTTCCTCTGTGAACAAAACTTTAGAGAAGTCAATCTTCATATTGTCCTCGGTCCATTTCAATCGATTTCGAATGTGATTTCTCGTCAACGGAGGCATCGATACAAGTTTGACTGTTGTTGCTATTTCCCTCAGATACCGACACCGAGTACTTTTAGACATAAATCTCTTGATTGGTAAGTCCAGGGTCCTTCGTCGCCTCTCGTTTAAGTCGTGACATGAGACGACGTGAAATAACCCTCGGCTTGCCTTTATTTGCCCTTTTGCGTACTTGTGTAGGGTCGGCAGTGAACTTTTTCAATGTTTGATGACACTTCCCTATCATTTTAGAAATTTCTAGGGTAGATTTACCTTTTGAGAGTTCTGAGGTGATAATTTTCTTTTCAGCATCACTTAAACTGCTTTTACGGCCCATCATTTCACTAAATTCTTAGACTTTTCTAATAATTTGGCACGCTCAAATCACCGTGCTGATAACAAATATGGCGACAGTTTATTTACATTGCGCAGATCAGTATGAAAATTTCAGTGATTGCGCAGCTTAGTGTTGCCAACATTGTGTTAAAATTGTGTGTGAATTGATTGGACGGTTTTTGAAATATTAGAAAAAAGTTATCTTGTTAATAATTTGGCACGCAGTGTATAGTGAACACAAGTGAGAAAGACTTGCTGTGACATTCTTCGTAGCCGAACGGTAAAGCACCCCGAATAAACTGTAGTTTTTCCCTACAAAGTGGGACGCCGATTCTCTTCCTGACGGAAAAAAATACATTTTTTTACTAATATTTCTCGAGTGCATAGGCCGATAGTTTATTTAAACAGAGTTAATTAAATTAAAATGGGGCGTCTATTTCAAATATAGAGTACCCACTATAATAAAGTTTGAGGTAATAAAAATGTTTGAATAAAGATTAATTTGATATATATATATATATATATATATATATATATATATATATATATATATGAATAGATACGATTATATTGAGGTATAAAAATAGATACTTAGACAGATACATATACACAAACTGAAATACGCAGATACACACACATGCATATATATGCATATATATATACACACACACATGCACACACAAAATATATATATATATATATATATATATATATATATATATATATATATATATATATATATATATATATATATATATAGAGAGAGAGAGAGAGAGAGAGAGACGGACAGATAGATAGTAACAGAATGAGATAGATAGATATGGACAAACTGAGACAACTAGATTTAAACAGAAAGTGATACGAACAGAAAATATATATATATATATATATATATATATATATATATATATATAAAGAAAGAAACAGTAAGATATATAATCCGGTGTTCTTATAGATATTTTTATTTTTACAAAATAGTGCTCAATGTAAATTTACAGTGCATTAATATTATAAATGCGAATTTTGGAGTAACTTTTTAAAAATTACTGTGTTTTAAAGAAAAGTTACTCCAAAATTCACTTGAGGATGAAATGGAACTAATGCTTTTAATTTAATTGCAAAATTAAATTCGGGGCTTTTAGCTTCTATTTTTGAAACATGGTTAGGACTGTGTAGCGGAAAAAACCATATTTTAAACCAATTAATTTATATATATATATATATATATATATAGAGAGAGAGAGAGAGAGAGAGAGAAATAGTAATCTACTAAGCATAGATTAGATGTAGCACAAAGCCGAAAGCATGTAGCGTTCATTGGTGATCGAACTCACTGCTCAGTCTTAATTGATGTAGCAATAAGTACTGGTTTTCTTAGCGTAGCTTGATCTGGCACAAGGCCGAAAGTATAAGGCAGCCATTGAGGATCGAACTCACTACTCAGTCGTAAGTGATCTAGCTAAACAACCATTACACCACGTCGAAGTGCCAGATAGAAAGAAAAAAAAAAAAAAAAATATATATATATATATATATATATATATATATATATATATATATATATATATATATATATATATATATATATATATATATATATATATATATATATATATATATATATATATTCCTATAATTCCTGCTGGATCATGTAATTTATATTGCGTATATTTTGGCAGAATGTTTTCATTAAAACATGTTTCATTGTATAATTTAGACACGAAGTTTTCCTACTTATTTTCAGTAAAATCCTCTCATATTCTCGGACAAGCTTCTTAGTATCCTTATTAAAGCAGGAGAGAAAATTACAATGTTGATACACATTTACTTATCCCGATTACTTTCGACATTAGCACAATGGCATTATCAGGGTTTCTTTTTTTTTGTAAGACAAAATTGTTGTGTTCATCGGAAAATTATTTTTTAACTCTGAAGTGAAAAACGCCAAGGTTATGTACAATGCGATTTAAATTTCCCTTTACAAACTTTAGGGGAGGGAACGAGGTTTGAATTATCCAGGTTTAAAAAAAAAGAAATAGCGAAAAAAGACAACATTGTATATAGATTCAAATCTCCCTTAGGAGATTGTATCTCCAACAGAAAAAATAATATCTATGTTGGTTATACTACTATTATGTTGTCTCGACAGTTCAGTTTTCATTTGAATGATGCATCAAATATGTCACAACATTTATGCCTGCCTACATTCGCAAGTCAGGAAAATTCTTGTTGAAAATACATAAGTAAATATATAAGTTTTCATGAAAATACTAAACAAACTAAAAATTCTTGAAGCTATTAAAAAATTGAAAAAAATTGAAATAAATTCTTATATATATTTGAAACCAACCCTTAATAAAATTAATTATCAATAATGCACAAATGTTTTAAAGTAGATAGTTTAAAATATCTAAGTTTTAACTAATAGAATTAAAAAAAAAACGTATGGACATTTCAAACTTAGTTAATGACGAATACAAAGTGTAATTTAGACCGCACAGTACAGAAACTTACCGTTTTTTATTTCACAGTTAAAGGCAATTAACTTTCAGATGAACACAACAATTTTGTTTTAGAAAAAAACAACAGCCCGATGATAACATTGTGCTAATATCGAAAGTACTCCGATTAAATGAATATGTATCAACATGATAATTTCTCTCTTCCTTTAATAATGATGCTAAGAAGCTTGTCCATGAATATGAGAGGATCCTATTAAAAATAAGTTGACAAAACTTGTCTAAATTATTCAATGAGCCATGTTTTTTTTGTGAATCAGTTTTAATATTTTATATTACTAGGATCCTCTTGGATTATATACCAACGGATTTGTTACCTTTACTATATATATAGACTGAAATAGATCGATCGATAGATAGATAGATAGATAGATAGATATGAAAAAAGATAGATGGATATGAACAGACTGAGATAGGTTTGAAAAAAAAAAATAGATAGATAGATGACGTCACACATTATGAAATGGACAAAGCCCGACAATTATTGTAAGACAATTTTAAGTTTATAGATTCTTTTTATAGATACAAATATTTAGGTAAATGCTCTGTTTATAATAAACAGTATTAAATAACATTTACCGACAGGAATCGAACTTGTATCCTATACGGGACCGTCATTTAGTTTAAAAGCATTAAATTGACCTTGCTAATCGAACGATCCTTCCTGGCTCGATCGGTTAAGGCACGTCGGGCTAAATGACGTATAGGATACGGGTTCGTCGGAGGACGAATATTTTCTATGAGAATTTCTCGGACATTCAGGCCGGTAAATGTTGTTTAATACTGTTTATTATAAACAGAGCATTTACTTAAATATTTGTATCTATAAAAAATAATGTATAAACATAAAAATGTCTTAAAAAATAATTGTCGGACTTTGTCCATTTCATAATACACACACACACACACACACACACACACACATATATATATATATATATATAAAAGGGAGAGGTTATAGTTGTTCCAATATGTGTGTGTGTGTTCACGCGCGCGTGAGTCTGTATGAAAACAGTACAAATTGTCAAAAATTGAAATTTCTGAAACACTGTTTTGTATATTAATATCTTTGTTTTATTTTTTAAATAGGTTCCTCGACTAGTTTCGGCCAGCATGGTCATCATCAGGAGAAAAAAATCATGCTTGTTAATAGCAGTGGACTACAGAAGTGATTGACAATCTCTGAGGAAGTTGATCTTGGCCCGTAGTTTTTATTTCTTTGTTTTTTTTTATAGTTAATTTTTGGTCACTTCTTGAATTGGTCAAATATATTTTGGTAGTTGTTTTAAAGAGAGGTCGGGGAGACCCATGAATCTTAGATGTTCCTTTTTAGTGATTTTAATAGCTTTATTTGCTGCTGCGAAAAGGATGTGTGTATTATGTGTATTATCTTTTAATTTGGGCGGGGGGGGTGTAAAGTATATATGTGTATATATTTGTTTATAAGTGTGTTTAAATGTGTGTATTGGAGACTTGATCAGTTCTGTAAGCATGTCTGTCTAGTGTGGTTGAGGTTGGAGGGCGTAGGGATATCATCTTCGGCCCTTCATGTGTGGTGTTATCTTCTATGTAGTAACAATAGGGTATACCCAATTATACAGAGATTATAATGCGTATGGGGAGAGGGGAATGATCTATCGGGTAATATGTTAATTCTATCTTCTATATGTGTGTGTGTTTGTATGTGTATGTTCGTGTGTGTGTGTGTGAGTGTACATGTGTAGTATACGTGCGTCTACGTGTTAGTAAACAACTTTAAGCATACTGATTTTCGAGGATTCTGTCTCTCTCTCTCTCTCTCTCTGTCTCTGTCTCTCTTTCTGTCTGTGTGTCTTTGTCTGTCTGTCCCACTTTATTTGCTTTTGAAGAATAACAAAACTGAGTCGCGTCTTCACATAAAAGCCAACGTGATTGAAGTTTTGGTAGGGAAATTGATCAAATCAAGGCCAAGTTAAAAAAAGAGCGTTTTGATTTTAAACTGACATACGAAAGGCATATTAGGAGACAAATACAATTTCTAAGGTCGGCAGAAAGAGAGAGAGAGAGAGAGGGAGACAGACAGACAGACAGAGACATAGAAGTCTTGAATTTAAAGCTAAAGGAATAAAAAAAATACAAGATCGATAATTTATGGACAAATAAGAGGGAGAAAGAAACTCGAACAGTCCGAGATAGAAAGAGATAGAGAGAGAGAGACAGACAGACAGACAGAGACAGAGAGAGATATGAAACTAAAATACTAACAAAATGATATAAAAATCTAAACAGATATAATTACATAGAAATAAATAGAATAGATAGACATGAACCGACTAAATAAATATGAATAGATTGAGATAGATAGATAGATAGATAGATAGATAGATAGATAGATATTGAACAGACTAAGATAAACATTGAACTGACTGAGACAGACAGACAGACAGACAGACAGACAGATAGATAGATAGATAGATAATAGATTTTGAACAGACTGAGATAGATAGATAGATAGATAGATAGATAGATAGATAGATAGATAGATAGATAAACATTGAACAGACTGAGATAGATAGATAGATAGATAGATATTGAACAGACTGAGATAGATGAGATCAAACTAATCCCCTCCGGCCTGCCCCCCCATGGCCCACTTTTTCCAGCTATTGCAATATGAAGTCTCTGAAAGCACCTGACGTCTTTTTATGTCCGCTCGTAAGTCTTTGTTTGCTGATAGAATGAAGCATTGTATAGCATCTTGCATGTTTGCTTCCCGTGACTTCTGGCGGCTTTAATAGTGTCTTAATGGTAAGTTTTAAATTCATTCCCTCTTCATTCAATTTGAACTATTATAACTTTTTGCCCATAAAACAGAATGCTTTGTTCGTAAATTCTTTTCCAGTTCTATCCTTGGCTCATCTGGAGTATCTGACCATCAACATAGATCTGTGTCTCTACTGTGTGATATAACTCCGTCCACGGTTTCCGATATCATCTCAAACTCGATCTCCACATAGCTCCCTTGCAATTATCCTCTTAAGAAATGTACTCCTGAACTGACCCCTGTTATCTACATGTTCTACAATAGTTGCCTTGTTGCTTCTCGCTTTCCAGCTTGTTGGAAATCCTTCCAGTTTTTAAGAACTCTGGCGAAGCGTCTGATCTCCTAAAGACTCCAATCAACCCCAAATTTGTTAAGCATCCTACCTCACAGGATCTTCATTCAGATAAGCAATATGGTTTTCACTTCTCTCAGTCAGCCGCCGATGTGCTGACCGTTTCTGCTGAAAGAGCTCGGGCTGTTGCTTTAAATATCTCAAAGGCATTTGACAGGGTTTGGACTGTTGGTATTCTTCACAAGTTGAAGGGTTATGATGTTTCTGGCAATTTCTCAGATTTGATTCAATCTTTTTTATCAAACGACATAATGACTATCATCTTGAATGGCCACTCATCTAGATCCTTCTGCATTAATGCAGATGTCTCCCAGGTTTATTTCATAACCCATTCTGTTCCTTATTTTCATCAATGACCTTCCTGATTTCCGACTCAGTATCTATAGCGATAATAAAAATATTTATTCCAGTCTTAATAGTAAGTTTGATAGGCCTCCAATCGGTTGTTAACTGGGGCAAGAATTGGCTGGTCAACTCAAAAGCTAAACTACTCTCTATTAATCACCATAGAGATCCTTCCCTGCCCCCCATTAGAATGTCTGATAGTCAACTTCCTGAGAGCAACTCCCTGCGTCTGCTCGGTCTCACGTTGACTGCTGACCTGAGATAGAACAAATACATTGAGTCAATTGCTTCGTCCACCGCGAGGAAAGTTGGCTCTCTGTGCCGCGCCAGAAAAATTTTCTCCCCGGAATCGATACTTCAAATATACAAATCCACCATTCGCCCTTGCATGGAGTATTGCTGCCATATATGGTCTGGGGCACCTTCTGTTTACCTCGGAGTTCTTGACAAGATCCAGAGACGGATATGTAATATAATTGGCCCTGATCTGGCATCTCGTCTACAGTCACGCTCCCATAGACGCGCCGTCGCCTCTCTCTGTCTTTTCTACAAATACTTTCATGGTAATTGCTCCGATGAGCTGCTTTCACTGGTTCCCAGACTCCATGAATTCAAGCGCCCTACGAGGCTGGCATCCCGCTCCCACCCTTACACTGTAGAAACTTTTAAATGTAGCCGTCTCTTCTACTCCAGTGGCTTCATACCTCGCACCTCTCGCCTGTGGAACACCCTTCCCAATTACTATTTCCCTGAGAGCTATAATCTCCAACTATTCAAATGTAATGTCAATCGACATCTCCAGTTGCCTTGATCTATCCACTATCCTTCTCCTCACCCTTTCTTCTATCACTCCTATCTGCTCTCTCTCCAAATCTTCTGCAACCCCCCTGCATCCTAGTGGCTTCATGGCTTGCTCGGGGCGTAATGCTTAAAAAAAAGTACAATAAAATCAAATAGGTAATTGATTTGGAGAATGACCTACAATAACTAGGATAAGAAGCAGCTTGTGAATTCAAACACGTCTAAAATGAAACTGCTCTCTATTAATCATCTTATAGAACTGTTTTGCTTTCCATCAACAAGGCTGATGCTAACCTCCAGGTCATTATCCAGGTCCGAGTCATTATCCATTCCATCACCTGCACATTGAAGCTTACAGCACCTGGTATTCCAAATTGGTCACCCATCGAGGTACAGGACAGGCACGACGTTGCTTAACTTCGGTGATGGTACGGGAAATCGTCTCCCACATTTATAATTCCGAGTCATTATCCATTCCATCGCCCACACATCGAAGTTTACAGCACCTGGTATTTCCAAGCCGTCACCCATTAAGGTACTGAACAGGCTCGACGTTGCTTAACTTCGGTGATCGTACGATTAATAATTCCGAGCCACTATCCATTATACCACCCACACATCCAAGCTGGTATTCCCAAATCGTCACCCATTTACGTACTGCCCAGGCTCGACGTTGCTTAACTTCGGTGATCGTACGGGAACTCGGCTCCCCGATTAATAATTCCGAGCCATTATCTATTACACCACCCGCACATCCAAGCTTACAGCACCTGGTATTCCCAAGCCGTCACCTATTTAGGTACTGACCAGGTTCGACGTTGCTTAACTTCAGTGATCGTACGGGAACCGATGTTTCAACATGATGTGGCCGTAATCCCTTTTATAACATGCAATCTTACAGCATATGGTATTCACAAGCGGTCAACCCTCTAGGTACTGACCAGGCTCGACGTTGCTTAACTTCAGTGATCCTACGGGAAGCGGTGTTTCAATATGATGTGGCCGTAAGACATTGCAAAATAAGAGATTCCACCGAGAAATTAATATTTATTAGGTGGGAAGTGAACATATTCATTATTAGGTTTCGAATTTATTGTCTGTGTTATTTTGGGAGTTAACAGAAGGAAAAAAAAGACTAAGTTAATAATTGCTTCGTGTATAAAATAATCATTTTTTTCTTAAGGCTTAAATTGAACTGACGAACAACTGGTTGCGGTTTATGGCAAAGCATTGAGGAAAAAAAAAGTTCCCTTCACTGAGATGATTTATGGCGGAAGGTTGGGATTATTATGGGGAATCTGAGCGTTTCCATCCGGGTCATTAGTCAAAATTTACCCAGCCTCCAACAAAGTGGGCTCGGGTATATTAAGTGTCTGTTTTTTCTCAGCCGGAATTATTGATGTCCTCATGCGTAACATTTTTGAGATTTCCACTTCAAGATGCTTGTATTTTGATATTTTTTTTTTGAAGATCTTAAAAGATACGTTGCAATCTGCAGGGACTTCCATATCAATAAGAAGTCACATTATGTTTTTGAGGTCTTCGATCACAATGTCTCGACGATTAGCTTTGATTGTACTATCTGTGTGTATTGTAAAGGCCCATAAAATTGTTACAGCTCCTATGACTCTAACTGGGTCTGAGTGGTATTCATACCAATTTCTTGCAGTTTCCTTCCCGTAAAAGTATCAGGTTTTCCAATGCTAAGTTATTATTATTATTATTATTATTATTATTATTATTATTATTTCCTTTTATGGCGTTTACACATTTCTTTCCGGGTCCCGCCCAGGGACCTAAGGTAAGAAATGGCATCTTGACACTTTCCACTGAAAAAAAAGTAATGACAGATAAAGCCCTTCGTAAAGTGTGGGCTGTACTTGTCAAAACAATTTTTGGATTTCTTTGAGGGCATGGACTTCAGGAAACCCTTCAAATAGTCTACTGAATCTTTTTCCAACCAGTCCTAGGGTTCCAACTACAATAGGGATTGTTGATGTTCCCATATGCCACATTTTCGAGATTTCTATTTCAAGGTCCTTGAAGCTGTCAAAATAGACAGCTTTTTGAATATCTTCAAAGATACATTGCAGTCAGCAGGGACTGCCATGTCAATAAGGAGGCACTTATTATTATTATTATTATTATTATTATTATTATTATTATTATTATTTCCTTTCATTTCTAATGTCTACTCATTTCAGTCCGGGTCCCAACAAGAGACCTAAAATAAGAAATGGCATCATGACATTTTCCACTGAGCATTTTTTTGAGGAAAAAATTAAAATAAAAACCTAAGATCACTCATATTTTACATAAACAAAGCCATTCGTAAGGTGTGAGAACATTTTTTTTTTGTATTTCTTTAAGGCATGGGCTTCCAGGAATCCCTTCAATGAGTCTATCGGAATTTTTTCCAATCAATCTGAGGGCTCCAACTACAACTGGAATTATTGATGTCCTCATGTGCCACATTTTTGAGATTTACATTTCAAGATCTTTGTATTTTTTGAAAGTTTCTTGAAGATCACGCATTTTGTCTTTGCAGTCTCTGATCAAAATGTCTGGGCGATTGGCTTTTGATTGCCCTGCCTGTGTCTATTGTAAAGTTATTATTATTATTATTATTATTATTATTATTCCCGTGGATTTCTGTTGTATATTCATTTGTTCCAACCAGAGACTTAAAGTTAGAAATGGCTTCATGATAGTTTCATTGTGTATTTTTTTTTTAAAAAAAAAAGGCTAAAGAAAAGAGTCAACCTAAGAGCAAACACATTTTAGATAAACAAAGCCGTTCGTAAGATGTCGGCTGTATTTGTAAGAACATTTTTTTTATATTTCTTTAAGGCATGATTTACCAATGATGCCATCAATGAGGTTATTAGAACCTTTTCCAATCAGTGGGTGACAAAAACGTGCAAATTTATTATTATTATTATAATTATTATTATTATTTTCTTGAGTCTCTGTTGTATAAGTCATGAGCTACCAGGAACCTCTTCAACGAGTCTATCGTAACCTTTTCCATTCAATCCAAGTGCTCCAACTATAACTGGAATTATTGATGTCTTCATGTGCCACATTTTTGGGGATTTCCACTTCAAGATCCTTGTATTTTGATAGTTTATTGAAGATCTTCAAAGATACATGACAATCTGCAGGGACTGTCGATGTCAATAAAAAAGCACATTCTGTTTTTGAGGTCTCCGATCACAATGTCTTGACGATTAGATTTGATTGTTCTATCTCTGCGTATTGCAAAGTCCCATAAAATTGTTGCAGATCCAATGACTATAACCGAATCTGGGTGATGTTCATACCAATTTCTTGCAGTTTTCTTTCCGTAAAATTTGCAGGTTTTCCAATGCAGAGGTTGGAATACATTTTCAAATTTTATTACTATTATTATTATTATTGAATGCATGATAAATTTTTCAGGAAGATAAGGTCCCTCTGGCATATAGTGAGTTAGTAAAATAATTTAGAATCATCAATTTCCAGTTGATTCTTCGAAATACAGAAGGTGGCTCCAAACTTTTGACCTCTAGTGTAAGTTTAGGTTTCGTGGATAATCGATGGGCAAATTACATGGAAAATAAAAAGAGATTACGTTAAAAATATTCCTTTTTAACATAAAATAATATTGTCGTCATTTGACTACCAACTTATGAACAAAATATTATTCTCATCTAATTTTTTTCTATATTTGGCCAGGAAAATATATATTTTAATCTAATATACGAGACTTGATCAAGAAGTATCGGGACCAGTACCATAAAAAGAAAACTACAACATATATCAATTCGGCATTTAATCTCCTTTGAAGTAGTTCCCTTCTGAAGCTACTAACCAGCGTTATTTCCATTGCTGGAAGCACTCCTAGGAACCCCTTTTTGGGGATTGCAAGCAGCTGCCTCGTCGCATTTATTTAGATTTTCTTAAGGTTTTGAAATCTTATTCCTCGTGGATTTGATTTTTGAAGAGAAAAATGTCGGAATGGGCAGGATGTGTGGAATGAGGTGGTCGTCTGGCTTGGAGAAAGTTGGGGTTGACCAAAAACTGATAAAAGCCATGGTCACTGATGGAACCTCTGTGGTGTGGTGAGACGACCCCAGTCATCGCACTGCTGCAAACAATGGAAGTGAGCGAGAACATTATAAAGCAAATGCAAATACACGACAGAGATCAAGGTGTGTCTGTGCTAAGCGCCTTGATCCTGTGTACTTTCGTACCATAAAAACAGTCCTGATACTTTTTGACAGGCCTCGTATATCCGTCAATCTGAGATTTTTTCTCTAAAATTTTTGTTTGCTTTCGGGAGACTTAGTGTGCAAAATTGTTTCTTTAAAATAAGGACTGATAGAAAATAAGGATCATTTTTTTTCTGGCGGAGTGATTTTGGAAAAGGTGAGAAATGTCCGACAAGAAACGAGTTAACGCTGGACAACTTGACAGATAAACGGATCGATCAACCCATTCGAATTACACCCCGTTCTGGGTATGACGATAAACTAGATCCGCGTCCAGGGTATGACGATAAACTACATCCGCGTCCAGGGTATGACGATAAACTACATCCGCGTCCAGGGTATGACGATAAACTACATCCGCATCCAGGGTTTGGCGATAAACTACATCCGCGTCCAGGGTAAGACGACAAATTACATCCGCGTCCTGGATAAGACGGTAAACTACATCCGCGTCCTGGGTAAGACGGTAAACTGCATCCGCGTCCTGTGTATGACGATAAACTACATCCGCGTCCTAGATAAGACGGTAAACTACATCCGCGTCCTGGGTAAGACGGTAAACTACATCCGCGTCCTGGGTAAGACGGTAAACTGCATCCGCGTCCTGTGTATGACGATAAACTACATCCGCGTCCTAGATAAGACGGTAAACTACATCCGCGTCCTGGGTAAGACGATAAACTACATCCGCGTCCTGGGTATGACGATAAACTACATCCGCGTCCTGGGTAAGACGATAAACTACATTCATTTCCTTGGTAAGACGATAAACTCCATCTGCATCCTGGGTATGATGATAAACTACGTCCAACAGAAAGGCCTCTTTTCAGGAGGTTTTGAGAAGCGTAGAACCACTTCTTAATTGCTGATGTTCCCAGGTCCACACTGACTCAGGGTGGTAGCACCTGTTAGGGGTCCCAGCTATGGGCAAATAGTAAACCCCTAAACTGGGGTCAAAATACTATGAAAGTGTAAAATAGGTTTTAACCCCATTAATAAATTTATTTGAGTGAAAAATATTACCAGAAATAGATTTTTGACAAAACACAATATTACCAGCAATAAAAATCTTGTCGGCATTAAATAATCCATCGTGGTTGATATGCCGTAAACCAAATCAAACCAAACCAAACCAAACCAAACCGAATTTCACTAACTTAGGAGTAATTCCTCTTACATATATTTGTAATACATTAATTAAACACAGACTTTTTAACAAGTACACAAGCACGCATGATCTATGCGGATAAATACATGCAAGTGGAAAGACAGCCGCATTACAACCTATTTTCTTTCTAAGTTACGCCTTTTCCCCCGATTCTTTCACTAATGGCAAAGAACAAAAAAGGCTTCCTTTGGTTCATCGTAACCAAAATCAAGCGAATATTCTCTTCAGAATCAAGAACATCTAAAAAGAAATAAAATAAAATAAAAAAGGAATACTTAATTAAGACAAGAATATTATAACATAGAATGTTTTTAGATATCTCTACTCTATACCCAACTTACCGGGGGCGTGGTAGATACAGGCATTTTATCGCTGGGAGACACATCGCTTCCCAATTTTGGAGACGTTGTATCGGATGTTTTTACAAGGGGACATAAGTTCATCTAACACCGCCTTCAAAATAATGAGAGCTGCAATCCTTTTATTGATCAACACGTTTTTTTTTTTTTTAAATTTCTATTTTCCTCTTATTTAATGTCGTTGAAGATGTTCGATTTTAGTTATGAAGATGATTTTAATATCTCAATGAAAATCCAATTGAAGAGAAATTTAAGACGGACACTCCAACATCCGACGTCAGGTGTCAAAAAATACACAGACAGATAATGAATAAACAGCGCTAGGAATACACCAAACAAATATAAGATCTGTCTGAGACATGAAAACTATTTCAAGGATTCCACAGGGGTAAAAAGGTTAGGAATTCTGCCCCCAATATATTAAAGGCCAGTCAGACGCATAAAAAAGATAATAAGTTTGCAGGATTTGTCTGTTTGTATTTTAGCGCCATTTCACCGACTTATGGATCAGTTAATGGCAAAATTTAATTTTCTTGGGAACAATAGTAAATTCCTCAAAAATGTATTGCTGGTAAAAATTTTTTTACACACCTTCAAGGTCAACCAATGAACTTTTCAAACCACCTTCACACCTGAAAAGGACCAACGCAATTATTAAGAAAAAGAGTTGAAATTAATGCATGCAAGATTTCATAATCAGCCTATGAACTTTTCAGCCCACCCTCGTACCTGGAAAGAAAGAATGCAGTTATTAATAAGAATAGTTGAAATGAATGCAGGCAAGATTTCACAGCTCTAGCATCATTCCTTCATAGTCAGCCTATGAACATTTCAGCCCACCCTCGTAGTACTGTTCAGTTATTGCTCACCCTGTTTCCACTGAATCCATATACACACTGCCCGGCCCAGTGATTAAACTCACGGCTGCTATGTCATGAAATTCTCGAACCAAGGGGCTTAATCCACAACGCTATTGTCTCTTGGGACAACCAAGATTAGGACAATATTCTGCATTTAGATAATGGTAAGTGTTCATACCAGAAATTCAGACGGAAATTATCCTCTATTCATGTTTCGATTTCCGAGGAATAATGAATAACCTGAAAATGAAAATTCTATCTCAAATAAAGTAATTAAACGCAAATTTAGATTACAATTGGGAGTATTTATCTAAATAAAAGTTTAAAGTATTTTTTATTCAGGTCTAGAAGAAACGCCCAAATTCATAATGTCTCTTTCCCTCGAGCGATGTTCCATTTTCAGGGCGACCCTTTCCGCCATTTTGGACACACACACGGACACATACACATTGTATCCCTCTCGTTCTCTTTTTATCTCTTATCGCGAATTTTACTGCAAAACTATTTTGTTTTATTTGATTATTTTTATTATATTTATCCCTTATATATAAAAAAAAATATAATTTTCGCCATCGTTGGTGCTTCGCTGAAATAATATTTAATATTCTTTGGGGCGGAATGACCTTTAATAGTTTGGGGTGTTATTCGTTCGTTGGAATGTTGAAATATGTGTCAGTGGAAAGTTCATTGGGCAGAAAAGAAAAAATCATGGTGAGGTTTATGTAAGGAAACAAAACAGATCGGATATCGGGACATTATTGATAGTTGTAAAAGAATGAGACACATACGAACAATATTAATAATAATAGAGGGAAGAAGAGGTTAGCAGCAGTCGAAGAAGAAGAAAAAGAAGAAGAAGAAGAAGAGGTTAGCAGCAGTCGAAGAAAAAGAAAAAGAAAACAGAGAAGAAGAAGAGTTACGAAGAAGAAGGAGAAGATGTAAGAAAAAGAAGAAGACGCAGAGGTAAGAAGAAGAAGATCTAAGAAGAAGAAAAAGAGGTAAGCAGACAAAGAAGAAGAAGAAAACGAAGAAGAAGAGGTATGAAGAAGGAGATGCAAGAGGGCGAAGATGCAGAGGTAAGAAGAAGAAGAGGAAGAAAAAGAGGTAAGCAGACAAAGAAGAAGAAGACGAAGAAGAAGAATGGGTAAGAAGAGGTAAGAAGAAAAAGACAACGAAAAAGAAGACGACGAAGAAGAGTTAAGAAGAAGGAGACGAAGAAGAAGACGAAGAGGTAAGAAGACGACGACGAAGAAGAAGACGAAAAAGAGGGAAGAAGAAGAAGAAGAAGAAGAAGAAGAAGAAGAAGATGACAAAGAGGTCAGAAGACGACGACGACGAAGACGGGGTAAGAAGAATAGGCAGACGAAGAAGAAGAAGAGGTAAGATGAAGAGGTAAGAAGAAAAAGACAACGAAAAAGAAGAGTTAAGAAGGAGACGAAGAAGAAGAAGACGAAGAAGAAGACGACGACGAAGAAGAAGAAGACGACGACGAAAAAGAGGTCAGAAGAAGAAGACAAAGAGGTCAGAAGAAGACGACGACGAAGAAGAAGACGAAGAAGAGGGAAGAAGAAGACGATGAAGAAGAAGACGACGAAGAAGAAGTCGAAAAAGAGGGAAGAAGAAGAAGACGACGAAGAAGAAGACGAAAAAAAAGGGAAGAAGAAGACGACGAAGAAGAAGTCGAAAAAGAGGGAAGAAGAAGAAGACGACGAAGAAGAAGACGAAAAAAAAGGGAAGAAGAAGACGACGAAGAAGAAGTCGAAAAAGAGGGAAGAAGAAGACGACGAAGAAGAGGACGAAAAAGAGGGAAGAAGAAAAAGAAGACGACGAAGAAGACGAAAAAGAGGGAAGAAGAAGAAGAAGACGAAGACGAAGAGGTAAGAAGAAGACGACGACGAAGAAGAAGACGACGAAGAGGGAAAAAGAAGAAGTAGAAGAAGAAGAAGAAGAAAATGGAAAGAGGCAAGAATTTAGAAAGAATCAAGAAAAAGGTAAGAAGTGACAAGAAACATGAAGTGAAAGATCTGAAGAAGAAACAAGGAATAAAAGATGATAATAATAATAATAATAATAATAGTAAGAAGAAGAAGAAGAAGAAAGAAAAAAGAGGCTAAAATAATTAAAAGGTTATAGAGAACGTTGAAAAAGTTATATAAAGAGGAAACAAAAAGAAGGCAATAATAATTAGAATAAGGAGATAGGGAGATGTAATAATTAAATAATAATAATAATAATAATAATAATAATAATAATAATAAGAAGAAGAAGAAGAAGAAGAAGAAGAAACAGAATATGTCGAAAGAGATAATGCTAGAAAAAGGAGATAGAAAGAGACAAAAAACAGACGGCAATAATAATATTTAGAAGAAGAAGAAGAAGAAGAAGAAGAAGAAGATGGAGAGAGAGAGAGAGGAGAAAAAGAAGCAAAAATGAAGGAGCAAAAAAAGAAGATAGAGAGAGAGAGAGGAAGATATTTTAATAAAAGGGAATAGAACAGTAATCAATTGAAAAGCTGCAATAAAAATGGCGACAACGAAGAATAAAGAGATTTATTTTTTTCTGTACTTGGCTTTCAAGCTGAAGATAAAATTAGGATGAAAGAAATCCTAAAAGAATTACGAAATATAAAAATGGTGGCGATGATAAATTCGTTCGAATTCAGTTGAAATGAACGAAAGAGGCTGTTATTACAGGAATAACATGGGAACAGGAATTAACAATAAGAAAAAAATCCAGGAAAAAGTCGACATTACTATTATTACTACTACTACTACTACTATTACTACTACTACTACTACTACTAATAATAATAATAATAAGAAGAAGAAGAAGAAGAAGATTAATTAGAAATGTAAACAGTTACTCGAAATGCATGACACGACCTTGAATATTATTAGTAGCATTAAAAATTATTAGTATTAATATTAATCAGGGGAATCTATGATGATAATAATAATAATAATATAAAAACCGTTACTCAAGGTGTTTCGATTTGGCTACTGAGATTATTAGTATTATTTGATTATTAGTATTTGTTTATTAGTATTTGTTTGATTATTAGTATTTGATTATTAGTATTTGATTATTAGTATTTGTTTATTAGTATTTGTTTATTTATTATTAAAAAAGAAGAAAGTAATTAGTAGATTTGTATTATTAAATAATATTATTAAAAAGAAAAAGTAGACTAAATATGAAAGTAGTATTGCAGACACTAATACTAATAATAGTAATAATAATCGAAACAATAATAATAATAAAAGACCGTTACTCAAAGTCGTTCGTACTGAGATTATTATTATTATTATTATTATTATTATTATTATTATTATTATTGTAATATTTCCTTTGGTTTCTGGTGTGTACACATTTCTTTCCGGGTCCCAACTAGAAACCTAAAGTCAAAAATGGCTTGATGACATTTTCCACTGATTATTTTTGTAAAAATTAAACCTATGATCAAACCCTTCGTAAGGTTTGGGGTGTGCATGTGAGTACAATTCCAACTACCACTAAAACTATTGATGTCCTCATATGCCACATTTATTATTATTATTAAATAGAAGAAAGTTACTCGACTAAAAATATGAAGGTTAGTATTGGAGACTCTCACTACTACTACTATTATTACGACTACAACTAATAATAATAATAATAAAATTAATAATCGAAATAATAATAGGTATGAATTTCGGATTAGATAAATGTGCAAAAGTAACATTCAAGAAAGGGAGAATTATAGAAACACGCTCAATAGATCTAAATTTTGTCACAAAGGTTAGGGAATTGGAACAAGATGAAGCCTATAGGTACCTAGGAATTAACGAAGGAGGTGGAATACAGCCTGCCCAAATGAAGGAGAAGGTAAGAAAGGAGTACTACAGGCATATGTGTCTGGTGCTGAATACTGAGTTGAATTCAAAAAACAAATTATCAGTCACAAACATCTTGGCTGTCCCTGTGGTGCAATACAGTTTCAACATCCTTAACTGGACCATAGCTGACATTAAGCGAATGGACACCAAAACGAGAAAACTTTTCACCTGCCAACGCGTGCATCATCCCAAGACTGATGTTGAGCGTCTGTATGTGCCCAGATCCGAAGGAGGAAGAGGATTATTTCAACTAGAATTGTTTTAGAAAACTAGAACAACTAGCCTTCAAAG